TATATATATATATATATATATATATATATAAAATGTGTGTGTACATTTTTTTATTTAGCAATGCTAAGAGTATCTAAAAGATTTTTTAAATGTGGATGTGGTTTCATTAGTTAGGTATGGTATATAGACTGGCTCCGCACTTATCCATCAAAAAGCGGACCAGTTTTTTTTTTTCCATTGCGAACCAGTTTTCAAAGAAAGGATCATATGATGAATTGACCACCTTGAAAATTAATGGTAACTTCATTCCCTGCGTGAACAGAACAATAGAAAAACAGCGCAATAGCATTTGTGTTGTACAGTCATATCATTATGTTACCAAATTTCTTTCAAAGGTCTGTTGGTGTGACACACACAACAGTATTATCAATAAATTAAGTAAATCAAATTTAAATCAGAATCTGTCTTTCCTTACTAAGTTAGTCTGTGGTACTGGATTTTTTAACTTTGGTATATCAAGTCACCAGTCGAACGGATTAGTCCATTACACTGGAAGTTTACTCCGGAAGTTGTGCCAAAGGCGCAAAAGTGGAGTCTTGGTGTTGGCGGCGTCTTGGCTGTTGCATGGCAGTGTTTAAATTCCTGTTGCAAACATGGATACTAAGAAGAATCCTGCCTTGGAGGATTTTGAGGAGATAAGGAAAGCGTTGGATTTCCTTTCTGGAGAAACCTCGTTCATTCGTCTCTAGCTAAAGTCCATTCTGGACCTAGTTAAAGAAGTGAAGGCTTTACATCTTCTGAATCTGCTGAAAAGTACAAATGGATTGCAGTTTTGGAAGGCCGAGTGGGTGACTTGGAGTATTGCAATAGAATGAATGATGTGATCATCACCAGACTGCGTGTCAAGCTCTGCTCTTATGCCGGCGCACTGTCAGGGCCCTGTCCGGCTGGTGAGCCCTCACCCGATGAGATAAAGTTCACGGAGGAACAGGTGGCCTCATGTGGAAGGGGATAAAGCTGGATTGTGACACATTGTGATGAAGCGTGCCACCCGCTCCAGAGATGAGGGAACAACGACAAACCGGCGATTATCATGAGGTTCAGTAACCGGAAACAAAAAACTGCTCTGCTGACACAGGGCAGGTTACTATAGGAGTCAGACATGTTGATTAACGGGCACCTAACCAAGAAGAACGCTGACATCACGAGGAAAGCCTGCTTTCTGAAGTAGCAGAAGGTGATCCAGTCGACATGGATCACAAACTGTAAGGTCCTCATCAAACTGAATGGAACATCGGAGGAGGCAAATGTTTTGGTCATCCGGGATATCACAGAGCTATGTATATGATGTATATACTTTTACAGTCATTTAACTACTTAAATGGCTGTAAAGGTTTTACGGTCAAAACTATTTTTGACTTTTGAAGTATTCTGTTGTACTGATGATTAATGTAGGATTTAGTGTAGGGGGATGAATGTGGCCTTGAATTCACATGTGAATCCATAACTTCTCAAACTGCTGGACCAAAGTGGTCCACTCTCAGATTCCAAACCACAGAGGGAGACTGGTCTGTCAATCTGTCTACAGAATTATTGTTAATAACTTTAGTCCTTAATATGTTAACAAAAACTGTTGTTTATGAGATGGAGCTGCAATTTTTTATGTGGGTATTGTCTGGCCCTGGGTTGGATTTGCAGAACAGAATAGAATAGGAAATACCTTTATTGTCTCACAATGGGGAAATTCTGGTGTTACATCAGCAGAAGCAATACAGCGAAAGTTGTAACACAAATATGGACTTTAAAAGTGTATTAAAATAACAGAGTAAGTGACAGAGTTTAACAATAAATAACGTAAAATACTATACTGTACAAATATAAATACTGTGCTTTCACCCAAAGAATAAATAATCAATGTACAGCTCAGGACATTTTTATAGTAGTGGAAAAGGGGAAATTGCAGCAACACCACAGATGTTCTTTATGACAGCATCATGTTATTTAAGGGACTAAGAGAGAAACTGTGCAAAATCAGCATGAATGTAACGACTTATAAAGGTTTCTGGGAACAGTGATGTTTTAAGTCTCACAGCTGCTGGAAGGAAGGATTTGTGATAACGTTCCTTGGTGCATTTAGGATGCAGTAGACTGACACTGAAGGACATCTCCAGATCAGCAACAGCCTTGTGCATGGGTTTGGAGACATTATTCAGCAGAGATGTTATTTTAGTTAGAGTCCTTTTGTTTCCCACCTCCTGCGCTGACTCGGAGAGGAATCCAGGAGGAATATCCACTATTTAAAATTATATACATAATATAATTATTTATATGTTATACATTATATATTACAAGTTGTTACAGCTGCTCACTTCTATGTAATTATGTAATAAAATAGTTGAATTGACAACATAAGCTATGGTGTCATTTTTGTACAGGTAGGATTAAATGAAATATATTTCACGCCTAGATTATTTTATATTGAACATTCAATACATCAACTACTTTAAATGAAAGAAAGTTTACTTCCTTTTCTTAAAACTGTACCTTCATACACCTTAAAAGCATATGGACACAAAGAACCTTGAAAGCCTGTTCTTAAATTATATTGTTGATTACTATATTAGCAATACTCTCCATTTTAAATATGACCTTTGTACTACCAAATAATTCCCAGATAAATTAAAGAA